AGTGGATCAAGGGTACCACGAAACATAGTCAATAAGTATTTTGAATTTCTTAAATAATTAAAAGGTCAAAATTTCCCCCTTAATGAGTTTAAATTAATTTGAACAAATTTAGAAGATTGCATTAATACAATCATCATTCAAAATATAGCCAAGATATATTATTTTAGATGTTGAAAAGATAATTTAGAAGTTCCAAACTAAGAAAAGAGGTTCTTCTTTTATGGAGCTTATAAAAGTTTTCTTTAGTCATTAACAATGAGAATATTAATCATTTAATGGGCGCTCAATTTACCAAAATTGTCATCTACTTTTTCAGAATCGAATTTTTTGAGACATACTCTCAAATAAAATGCCTTTAATTAAGATACAAAGCTCATAAGCAGAATTAATTAATGAACAATATCAAAATTAATCAAAACTTAATATAGGTTTCAGATTTATAATCAGATTAGACTTAATTAAATTAGAAGTCGGTTGAAACAAAAACCTATTAAGTCAAAGGTTCTAGAAAACTTTCTTTCATTAATTGAAGAATTAGGTAGCTAAAGTTTCTTTAAAAATTATTCGAATTTTCACCCAATTGACTTTTGGATGAGAATAGAATACTCTCAAGGAAAGTCTTTACTATTTAGAGTGAGGTAAATTTTATAGTATCAGCGTTCAAACAAAATTAATTTACGGCTTACGATCTTTATGAGACTTTTTCACAATTTTACCATATGAAGCAACTTTAAAATGGAAAGAATTAAGAAAAACTTTTTATTATGGAACTTCTTTAAATGATTTACATGATTAACCACTATATTTGGCTCAAGATATGACTACATATTAACTTGCCTAAGTTGATTACTGTTCTAACTTACACAAGCAACATAAGAAGGGGAAAATAAATATTTTTGGGAAGATTAATATTTTGATGAGAATTAAACTAAATGTATTTTGAATCTATTTATAAAAGTGTTTTAAGATAATTATTTTGGGTTATTAACAAACAGCAGATTCAAATTTGGATCAATTTAATATTTCACTTGAGCATTATTAAGGTTAAATATAATTATTAAAGCCGAAATTGAAGTAAATTTTGGATATGAAGCAGAAATTAATTTTAATTGTTTAATAATCGAAGCAATAAATTGAGTTTGTGCGCTCAGCCTCTAACACTATCTATTTATTAAGATCTCTTAGAGAAAAATTTTAATGACACTGATCTTTCTCATATTTGTTTGTCTACACTAAATTAAATGGTTTAAATTTCTGTTAAATTAACTTCGATAAATATAATTTTAATAGGATTTCAATTGATTCATGCAATTTTAACCGTGCTAAAATTACAAATGCAAAATGGAAGAACTTGAGTTTAAAGAGAAACCAACATTAATTGAACATAAAGATAGTATAACAAGCCTATAATTCACAAAAGATGAAGGAATTTAATTTCTTTAAGTAATGATGGAATGATTACAACTTTGTAGGTTCTGGGAAATAGAACCAAAAATTTTTTCGTTTTCAAATCATTAAAAAGTGATTTCAACATTCATTTTCAGAACAAACAAATCTTTTGCCATGTTTGAAAGGCTAGTCCATTCAGATTTTGAACTGCTCAGGTTTGATTTTGGAATTATTTACCTCTTATTAATTATGATTATAATAGAGTAATGTTGTCTTAGGACGGAAATTACATTGCAGCACTCACATAGTCCATTAAGATTTTTTCAGGTAAATTAAATCCTTGAAAATTTAAATTTAACCGTAGAGAAATATTTTAACAGTGAAATTTATAATTGAATGCACTGCAATCTCTTCAAGTTCTAAACTGTTAGTTGCACGTGGAGCT